AATTCCTTGTGTTGTCTTCTTACTTTCATTGTTTTAATTTCTGTTCTGACTTTTATAATATCCTCCCCTATTTGGGCTGTGGGCTTGACTTGCTCTTATTTTTCTAAGCTTGAGGTGCAGCATAAGGTTGCTTATTTGAGCTTGTTCTGTTTTCCTGATATGAGAATACACAGACATAAATTTCCTTCTGAGAACTGCTTTCATTGTGTCCCACAGGTTCTGGTAAGTTGCATCTATGTTTTTGTTTGATTGTAAATATTGTTTAATTTTTTCTTTAATTTCATCTGTGACCCATTGCTTGCTCAGGAGGATGGAATTTAATTTTCATATGCTTATGGAGTTTTTGCAATTTCTTTTGCCAATAGTTTACAGTTTCATTCATGAAATTGGTCTGATAGTATGCATGTGGTAATTTCAATTCCTTTGTTTTACTTAAGGATGTTCTATAGGCTCATGTATACTCTATTTTATAGAACATTCCATGTGCAGCTGAGAAAAGTGTGTATTCTGATATTATAGGGTGGAACACTCTGTGTAGGTCTACTAAGTTCACTTGTTCACAAATTTGGTTCAGTTCTATTATTTCATTGTTGATTTTTTTGTCTAGTTAATCTATCTCTTTGTGACAATGGGGTATTAAATACCCCTGTTATGATTGTATTAGATTGAATTATTGCTTATCTGATTTTTCATGTCTGTTAAAAATTTTTCTTGGGCCAGGGAGATGGCTCAGTAGAATAAGCTTTTCCCTGGCAAGCACAAGGGCCTGAGTTCAATCCCCAGTTCCACGAAAAAAAAAAAAAAAAAAAAAAAATCTTATATAGTTGTGTGCTCCTGTATTTGGTCCATATATATTTATGATTATTATCTCTACTTCTTGTTTTCCCCTAAAAAAGTATGTTGTGACCTTCTTTACATCTTTTGATCATTCTTGGGTTCAAGTTCATATGCTCTGCAAAACAGAATAGCTACTCTTGCTTCTTTCTGGGTTCCTGTCACATGGAGTATTGTTTTCCATCCTTTGACTTTCAGTCTATGAATTTCCTATTGAGATAAATGTGTTCCTTGTATACAACATGTAGTTGGATTTTGTTTCTTGATCAACTTTTGCAGTCTGTTCCTTTTGATTGATAAATTAAGATCATTTACATTAGTGGTTATTACTGATATGTATTGTCTTATCTTTGCCATATTATTGTTCTGCTGTTGGTTCCCTACTTTTCTCCTCTCTTTAATTGTTTGCTGTGCTTGGTGGTTCCTTTCTATTGTTGTTCTTGACATTATGGTTATTTTTATCTCTTTCCAGAATATCTTTCAGTACTCTGTAGGTTTGGTTTGGTGGTTATGAATTTCTTGTTCTTTGTTGTGGAATCTACAAGAAAATTAGAGACGACTTAATACCAATGTTGCCCAAACTCTTTAATGAAATTGAAAGAGGAATAATACTCCTAAATTCATTCCTGGAAGCAAGCATTATCCTTATACCAAAACCGAGAAGGACCCAACCAAGAAAGAGAATTACAGACCAATCTCCCTAATGAACATAAATGCAAAGATCCTCAGTAATATGCTGGCAAACAGAATACAGCAAATTATCAAGAAGATTAAACACCATAAATGGATGCAACTAAAGACCATACTCTTAAGTGAAATAAATCAGACCCACATGTGCAAACATCATATTGTTTCTTTAGTGTAAGAACCTGAGAGTAAATAAAATCTGAAAGGTACAAAAGATACTGTGAAAAGGGAATGAACCTGTTCAGAAGGAAAGGGCTGGGGTCAGGGAGATGGCTCAGTAGAATAAGCGCTTCCTTGGCAAGCGCAAGGGTCTGAGTTCAATCCCTGGAAAAAAAAAAAAAAAAAGTAAAGGGCCAGCCAGATAGCTCAATGGATTACAGCTCCTGCTTAGGCAGACCCAGAGACTGGGTTCAATCCTCCTCCTTGCCATGATAGCCCCACCCCCAAGGCACACTGAGACATCAAATGATATTGGACATGGTAGCATGTGCCTATAATCCCAGTGCATGGGAGGCTGAAAGCAGGAGGACCATCACAAGTCCTATCTGTGTAGTGAGACCCTGTAGATCTTGTACTAAATGCTTAGAAAAATAAAAATAAATAAGAACAAGTAAACAAAAGGAAGGAATTACTAATATGAGGCAGAGAAGAGAGGGAATGGGAAAAAGTGATATCTAGATATGTAATCAGGATGGGTTCAATAATAGTACTATGAGTTTTTGCTGGTCTGGAAGGGAGCAACTAATAATTTTTTTTTTTTTTGGTCTTCTTTTTTGAATGTTTTCTTCCTTTTTATCTCTTAGTTTCTTATAATTTTTTTCTTTCTTCTTCCAATTTTACATGCATATATCTAGTCATCTGAACAACTAATTTAAAGACAACACTGTACAACAAATACGGTCAAATTCGTATCATTTTGCTTAGTGAAATTCTATATCATTTGTAATTTTTCTGTTTTAATACTATTTTGTACTCTCCTTTTAAAAAAAAATGTTTTTAAAGATTATATACCATGACCACGTAGAGTTCATACAGAGATACAGGGATAATTCAACATACATAAATCAATAAATGTAATATACCACATTAATGGAGCCAAGGATATAAATCATACAATCAACTCAATAGATGCAGAAAAGGCTTTTGATAAGGTGCAGTACCAATTCATGATAAAAAAAAAATCTACAGAAAATCAGAACACATGTTTTTATCTCAATCTAATAAAAGCCATCTATGACAAACCAATAGCTAACATCATACTAAATGGGAAAAAAACTGAAAGCTTTCAGGCCCGGCATGTGAGTGAGACCACCCAGGACCTGCCAAATCCTCATTCAACCCAGAGTGCAGGCCAGGCATGTGAGTGAGATGACTCGGGGCCCACTGGATCCTCATTTGACCCACAGTGTGGGCTCAGCATGTGAGTGAGACCATCTGGGGCCTGCCGGACCTTGATTCAACCCAGAACTCAGGCCAGGCATAGAACCCTTCAGCAGAACTCCCTGCAAAGAGGCTAGAGGCAAGACCCACCCAGCTGATTCAGGAGCAGAACATCTTGCCAGAGAGACACAAAGGGTTCAACTCTAAGGGCTGCAGCAGAAAGAAGTGGAGCACAGCAAACAGATCCAAACAACACCCACCTGGAAGAATCTGAACTTCGTAGATCCAGACCTGGTGCTAAGGTAATAACTCTAAGCTCTACACCAAAGGTCAGAAGACAGTGATACACAAAATGACAAAGAGAAGGAACAAAATGCAATCTCAGGCCCCGAGTCCACCCAGAACAAATGCAGAAGACACTAGTATAGAAAAAATTGGAAATCACACACCTGAAATCTCCGAAATAATAGCGTTAGAAGTAAAGAAACAACTGCAGAAAGGTATAAAGGAAAGCAGATCAGAAATAATTTCTGAAGTAAAAAATGAAATGATAACTATAATCAAAGAAGTACTAAATGCTTCCAAAGAAGACACTGGAAAAAAATAGAGCAGAATATAAAAATGATGGAATCCTTGAATAAGCAATATAGGAAAGAAATAGGATGTATGAAGCAGATTCAAAGTGATATATAGGAAATTAAAACCTCAATGATAAGCTGGCAAAACCATTTGAATGAAAGTGAAAATAAAAAAAAGTGAAAATATGGGGCTGGTGAGATGGCTCAGTGGTCTAAAGCACCTACTTAGAACAAGCTTAGCAAAGCACAGGGACCACGGTTCAATCCCCCAGCACC